TACTATGGATTCATCTAGGATCTTAGTCCATTTCCTTCGGTCTTAGACCTTATAGACTCCTTACTTTATGTTTAGTTATATCATCCACTTATATCACACCGTTTTGCTAGAATTTTTGGTACAATGACTTTTGATCTTAGGCATATTTATATACCTAAGTTGTCATTATTTACCCATGAATTGATTAGATTGAAGAATGATCTTTAGTTATTAGCTTGATTTTTCGTGTAACTTGTGAGGATTGTGCACTTACACACATGATTAGTTGTTTCAGGAACTCTCGAAGGAATTGTAGTTGGAACGAAGAAAGAAGAAGCAAAGACATGCAAGAAAGTGGCTAAGGAAAAAACCAACAGTGGCTGGTGCACTGAGAGGCACACCACGCCAAAGCTGAAAGATCAGAGTACCATTGTTGGCATACTGTTGGGCGCGCCGCACCAAGGCTTGAAGATCAAAGACCTGTTTGAGGCGCGACGCGCCAAGGCTCAAACTTCTGAAGCACTTTCCAGGCGTACTACTAGGCGCGCCGCGCCACAATGAAGAGTTCTGAGGCGATTTGGAGGCCTAATGCTCCACTCTTCTGCCGATTTTTCCAGCTTAAAAGTCATTAAATAGGATTCCTAATTGTAGTAAGTTTTGTCTCCAACTTTTCCAACTCTTATAAATAGACCTTTAAGGCTCCATAGTTAGGGTTTGACTTTCATTGGGTGTGCAAGAGAAAGTATCCACATTTGTAATAGGTTTTGATCTTCTAACTCTTCTATTTTCCGAAAATCGTATGAACAATTGTATTTTGTTGTTTTCTAGTAGCATGAGTGGCTAAACGCCTTTGTTCTGGGGCTGTAGCTACAAATGAATTGTTGATTATTAAAGGATTTTTGAATTAATTCTTTGTTGTCATTATAAGTTACTTCTATATTCTTGTTTTAGTATTTTATGCTTGATCACCATAAGATAAATATATTATCTACTCTTAAAATAGAGAGAGGAAAGGTTTAATAGACCAGAGAATATAGAGCTCGGTCGACCCATTAGATTGAGATGATTAGTGTTCAGGAGTGATGCCCGAACGAACACCTTGCTTGGTTACGAAATAGGATGAAATATAAATGCTCGCCAGTTAGTCTATTTATCCCCGCTCAACGATGTAGTTAGATAGCTAACTGGAGTAGGCAACGAGATGTGTATAGCCCGACTCATATAATTAACCCTATAAATCAGTAACTTGACAACTGAAATAAGTTCTAAGCCGATAGTATAATACATGAGATTCAGTATATGCTGCAGCCCTGGAATTGCCTTTTACTTGCTTGAAACATCATATTAAAGTCGTTCACAATTGGTTACTTTTATTTAGTGCATAATTATTATTAGTTAACAATCATCACAATCTCTTAAACGGTTACTTTTACTTTTATTTGTAGAATTAAGTGTTAGATACAAATTAACCATAAGTCCCTTGGGAACGATAACTCGTTCTTTAAGAATCTATATTACTTGCGCGACCACATACACTTGCGTGTATATTGGGGAGCAACAACTTTCAGATTCTAGGGGTTCAATTTCCGCTTGGTTATGTTTGTTTTTGATAATTTATTGAGTTTATGGGAACTCGGCTTTTAAATTGATTATTTAAACATGTTTCTACATCTTTAAATGCTTGTTTTTTGGTTAGTATCATTTAGTTGGGTTGTAGTAATGGTTCTCCCACCGGAGGGTTAGTGTGGGTGCCAATCATGACGGTTTGGGTCATGACAAAGTTGGTATCAGAGCCCTAGGTTTGCTGATCTCATTGTACCAAAACGATTCTAGTAGAGTTTTGCAAAACGGTATAGAGACATCTATACTTTTCTTCGAGAGGCTACAAGACTTTAAGAAAATCTCTCCATCTTCTTCTCCCTATGTGCAATAACTTGAATCTGATTGGAATATGATGATCCAATGTCACGCCTCGAATCCCATTGAGACGGACAGGCACCGATGCTGTAAAGGCCCGAGAGAACCCACGTATAACTTGTATCTACCATGCATTTAGCTAAGATAATCATGAAACTCTAACAAGTATACGTTTAAGCTACAATGATAAAAGAACAACATAGGTAGGGCCAAAATATATACACATGACTCGACCGTTGAGGCCACAACTGTTAAGGAACAAACCATAACTTCATGCTATGCATTAGTCTACAAAGGCTCTATAAGATAGATAAACTTAGAGTAGGTTGGGATAGACCCCACCTTACCTTTAACTACAATACAATACAAAATTGAATCTACCAAGGACTCTAAAAAGCTCTGAATCAACCTGGAGCTCACCAAAAGTAGTTGAGTGTCGTGTGCTCCTATTGAGGAGGTCTACTAGCTTGAGTACTTGTGCCTGCAGCATGAAATGCAGTGTCCCCCACTAGGGACGTCAGTACGAAAAATGTGCAAAATATATAAGGCAATAACATATATAAAACAAGGGCTCGAATAAAATCAAGTTTCAATATATGAGTGCATAGATTAGAACAAAAGACCACCTTTGCTTACTCTTGTGGGATCATGTCTGTTGTATTATTTTCTTTACTTTATAATCTTTGTAGGACATGTAATACAAATGACCAACTAATCAGTGGTAGAAGAGGATGACCAATGCTAGGCATTTTAACCCTTGGGATGCTGTCCTCGTAATTACACCAATTGGGATCGGCCCATGCTAGGCTTTCTCCTTTGAGCTACCACCCTTCAATACCAATTGGGATTGTCCCATGCTAGGCTTTCGCCCCTGAGCTTCCACCCTTCTATACCAATTGGGATCGGCCCATGCTCGACTTTTATCCCTGAGCTGCCACCTATAATTATACATATTGCTTCACTTAGGTTCTTTACTCTTTGAGATTGTTGTGTTTGGTGGTCATAATCATTCTTTACATTTGGAACTACGGACCAGTAGTGGAAGACATGAAAATAATAAATTCAAGGCAGTAACAATGACATAAGGATCTATGTAACATCAATGCATTACTTGTGAGCTTAAATGACACAATTTACTTCAATCGACTAAGAGGAGTATTCACCGAGCTTACTTTTGCAAAAACCATTTCTATACTAGCACATAGGAGGAGGATAATGACACAAATGTAGAGAAATGAGCATATAATGAAGTAATTTGACATACTAAGGAGGGGCAATATTGTTGTCCACATTGTAGATCATACGCTGCCACTATGTTTCCTTTATTAGGAATAGAACTTAGAAAATTCACTTCATTGATATTAATCGCAAGTGTCAGATTTCATGCCAAGGAATATGGAATAGAATAGCCATACATACCTTATTCTCTGACCAATATAACTATCACGATTCAGCCTCCCATGTTAGGTGTTAATCTACAATATAAGTCATGATAAACTAATATTAGCAGCTATCACACCGTGAGCATCATAAAATAGTAGATAACTTTTACTGATAATGAGCCCATACAGCCCTTAAAATAATGTGTATCACCACATCCTCCTTTTCTGTCCAATACACACCTTCTATATCCTTTCCCAAAATTACCCAAGCTATCCCAAAAACAATACACATAAAATAGCATCAAATATTCTTTATCATACAACCAAATATTGAAGTCACCACCCCCTTGATTTCTTCTTGGCAGCACACCCATAATTCCTCACTCAAACTCATGCATAAGGAGGACAAAACAAAAATGGAGCTATCCCCTTACCTCAATTTCTGTAATTTCTCCTTATAACTTGAACTCTTCTAGAACTTCAACATCCCTTCACACTTAAACCAAAGAAGAAGAGAAAAGTTTCATAATAACCTAGAAAAAATGAGCAGTAGCTTGTGGGAACTTTGCCTTGTACTTATAATTAAGCATGAATAACATGTTTTCCTATTCTTCTATGGGAGAATCAAGCTAAATCCATAAGTGTTTCTCTTACCTTGGTTTGCAGTTATGAGGGTTTCTTCAACAACCCTAGAAGGAATTTTTAGGCTGCTCTTGAGAGAAAAGAGAGAGATGGCTGAAATTAATATTGAATTTTGTGTGTTAAAATGAGTGAAAAGATCAGCTTATATTGGATTTATATAAAGCCTTCTTGACCATTAAAAATTCCTCTCGAACCTCACTTTTTTTGGTCCATTTTCAGCCACTAATTTGTCAAGTAGGTGATGTACCTGCTTATGTACATTAAGCAGCTCAAAAGGTCAAACTAGGTGATACACCTACTTGCCTTTATATGGGCTTAACTACATTGGGCTTTGGCAAATTTGGCTGCTAGGTTTCCTTTCACTTTTATTTTCTTTGACTTAGTTTGGGCTTCATGTGAGCCCATTAATATAAGCCTAAATCTGATCCATTAACCTTGGTCCCTTTAACTATATCCATATAGCTTAAGTAGGTGATGCAGCTAGTAGCTTAATTAAGCCAAGCAAGCAGCTCACCATTTTAATCCATTCTCTGAATATTAATTCCTTTTGCCTTAACTTAGCACTTAAATTTGAGCTTTAAACTAAATTACCACCTTACGATCTCGAGTTTAAAAACTTCCATCGGGGTTAACTTGCAGTACACATACTGAAACGTGCAAGGCATCACATCACCTTCCAAGCTAGTTTAAACCAACATTAATCATATAAGAAACAGGGTTCCTCACCTATACGATAAGTCTATGCCAAGTATCATATGAATAGAACTAACTTATGCGTAATACGAGTTGTTACATCCTCACCCCCTTAAGAGCATTCATCCTCGAATGTTAGCACGGTTATCCAGCCCAAACAAGTTCAAGTCTAAGTTATTTTCTACTATTAATCCATAATTTAGATAAACTTATACTTACTTGTCAATGCCTCAACTCAACATTTTCATTTTTCTCATTGGTCTGGAAGAGATGAGGATACTTCAATTTCATTGCTTCTTCTGCTTCCCATGTAACTTATTCTACTTGTTTGTTTCTCCACAGTACTTTTACTGAAGCTACTTCTTTATTTCTTAACTTCCCAACTTGTCAATCCAGAATACCAATGGGTACTTCTTCATAAGTGAGATCTCCCGTAAATTGTACATCTTCAGTAGCAGTTATACGAGATAGGTCACCTATACACTTCCGAAGAATTGAGATATGAAACACCAGATGAACTGTTGAAAGCTCTTGTGGTAGCTCTAACTCATAGGCTACTTGGACAACTCTTCGAATAATTTTATATTGCCCTATATATCGGGGGCTCAACTTCCCCTTTTTACCAAACCTCATTACCCCTTTCATTGGAGACACCTTCAAGAATACCCAATCCCCTATGGTAAACTCAATTCCTCTTCTTCTAACATCTGCATATGATTTGGGTTGACTTTGAGCTGTTTCTAGACGTTGTTGTATCACCTTAACTTTTTCTATAGCTTGATGAACAAGATCCGGCCCAAATAAGGCAGTTTCACCCACTTCAAACCAGCCGATTGGTGATCTACATTTTCTACCATACAAAGCTTTATAAGGTGCCATTTTTATACTTGAATAATAGCTATTGTTATAAGTAAACTCAATCAGCAGCAAATGATCTTCCCAACTACCTTTGAAGTCTAGTATACAAGCTCGCAGCATATCCTCAAGTTTTTGAATTGTACGTTCTTCCTAACCATCTTTTTGGAGGTTAAAGGTTATACATAAATTTACTTATGTTCCTAAACTCTTCTAAAATGGCTTCCAAAAATTCACAGTGGATTGAGCTCCCCTATTAGATATAATAGAGATTGGTACTCCATGTAGATGAACTATCTCTTTAATATACAACCTTGCATACTCTTCAAATGTATAAGTAGTCTTGACCGGTAAGAAGTATGCTGATTTGGTCAGTCTATCATCAATTACCCATATAGAATCAAACTTCCGAAATGAACTACGCAAACCAGTGACAAAATCCATGTTGGATCATGTCCCACTTCCAAATTGGAAGTTCTATACGCTGCATATAACCTCCAGGCTTTTGGTGCTCTACTTTTACTTGTTGACAATTTGGAGATTGAGCCACAAATTCGGCAATGTTCTTCTTCATGTCACCCACCAATACACTTCTTTCATGTCATGGTACATTTTGGTTGACCCCGAATGGACAGAATATCTTGAATGATGTGCTTTCGTCATAATCCTCTTTCTTAGTCCATCTATATTGGGTACACACAATCTGTTTTGGCACCGGAGTACTTCATCTTCTGTAAGCTCAAATGCTATTGTCATACCTTTCTGTACATTCTCTTTAATTTGTGATAGAATAGGGTCCTTTTACTGCTTCTCTTTCACTTCAGCCACTAATGAAGATTCTATCGCATTCTGCACGATAACCCATTCATCCAGAGACTCAAGAAGGCGAACCCCCAAGATAGCTAGTTGGTACAGATCCTTAGTTATTCCTTGTTTTCCATGGGCTGCCTATAAGTTCTTGCAAATGTTTTACGACTGACTGCATCAACTACTACATTTGCTTTCCCGGGATGATACAAGATATCAATGTCATAATCTTTTAATAGCTCAAGCCAACTTTGCTGTCTCAGATTTAGGTTCTTTTACTTAAAGATATATTGCAAGCTCTTGTGATCAGTATATATGTCAACATGAACTCCATATGAGTAGTGGCGCCATATCTTTAAAGCAAATACAACTGCTGCTAACTCTAGATCATGGGTTGGATAATTTTTCTCATGTGGCCGCAATTGACTTGAGGCATAAGCTATTACTTTCCCATGTTGCATCAATACACATCCTAGTCCCACTCTCGAAGCATCACAATACACTGCATACCCTTCCGTGCCCTCTGGAAGTACCAATATAGGTGTGGAAGTCAAATTATTCTTCAGCTCTTGGAAGCTTCTTTCACATGCATCACTCCATTGAAACTTATTTGTTTTGTGTGTCAGCTTTGTTAAGGGTGCTGAAATGGAAGAAAATCCTTTAACGAACCTCCTATAATAACCTGCCAATCTAAGAAAACTACGAACCTCTGTAGGCGTTGTAGGTCTTGGCCAGTTCTTCACCACTTCTATCTTCTAGTTATCAACCCTTATTCCTTCATAAGATACAATATGACCTAACAATGCCACGGATTTCAACCAAAACTCACATTTAGAGAACTTTGAATACAACTTACGATCACGAAGAACTTGTAAAACCTGCCACAAGTTATTAGCATGGTCCTCTTTCGATCTTGAATACAACAAAATGTCATCTATGAATACTATCACGAACACATCTAAAAATGGCTTGAACACCTTATTCATCAAATCTATAAAAGTTGATGGTGCGTTTGTTAGCCCGAATGACATGACTAAAAACTCAAACTGACCATACTGTGTTCGGAAGGCTATTTTACGCGTATCATGGTATTTGACCCTCACTTGGTAATAACTCGACCTCAATTGGATCTTTGAAAAACATTTAGCACCTTATAACTGATCAAACAAATTATCAACCCTAGGGATGGGATATTTTTTCTTAATTGTTACTTTATTTTAACTGTCGGTAGTCAATGCAAATTCTCAATGAGCCATCTTTCTGACGTACAAACAAAATCGGTGCTCCCCATGGGGACATACTAGGCCTTATGAATCCTTTTTCTAATAAGTATTTTAATTGATCCTTCAACTCCCGTAATTATGCCGGGGCCATTCTATAGGGATGGATGGAGATAGGTTGAGTATCTGGAATCACATCAATACCAAACTCTACTTCTCGTTCTGGAGGCATACCCGGAAGATCTTCAGGAAATACATCAGGAAATTCGTTTACCACCGGACTGGATTGAAGGGTTGGTGGCTTTGCATCTATATTTTTCACTCTCACCAGATGACATATGTATTCTTTTGACATCATCTTCTTTGCCTTAAGATAAGAAATAAATTTACCTCTTGGTGTCCCAATATTACCTTTCCATTCGAGGACGGCCACTTTTGGAAAGTGGAAATGCAGTATCTATGTTTTGCAATCTATCGTGGCATAACAAGAAGTAACCAATCCATACCTATTATAACATCAAAATCTATCATTTATAGTTCAACAAGGTTAGCAAATGTATCGATGAACTCTATCCCCCATAGTAGCTACAACATTAGGACCGTACCTGGACAAGGAATTAAACTGGAGACTGTACTCCCTCACGCTCATATTCCCTTAGTGGAGATTTAAGAACTGATCTGCACAGGCCTCCAGAATCTCTAATGGTAGATAATGGTCAACGAACGCCTTTTTAAAATCATTCCAAATAATGGTATATTGATTCCAAGACTCATACCACAAAATGGCCACACCATTTAATCTATATACTGCTAGCTCAACTGTTTCTTTATCCGATACATGCATAACATCCAAAGTCCTCTGGATTTGATCGATAAAGTCTTGCGGGTCTTCATTAGGATCTGACCCGGTGGATGATGGAGGGTACTAATTAAGAAAATCACGTATCCGCACACTAGTAGCCCTGTCTGCACCTCTATTACCTGCAATTGGACCCTCTTGCCCTTGGCCCGCAACTATACGAGTCAATAATTGGACCACATTCTTTAAATCTTGGTCTGTAGAATTAACATGGGATTCTTGAGGTGCTACTTCCCTCCTTAATTCTTCTGGAGATTGAGGCGTCGGGGAAGTCTGTGATAAAGACTCATCGTGAGCCTCGCTTTGTTCAGCACTCCTAGGTGGTGATTGGATGGGCCCTTCTCCCACAACCATATCTATTTGGTTACCTATTCTTTTACTCCTTCTCATAACCAGCATCTTTACTATAATAACGCAATTCAGAAGTTAGATACGATTCAACTACAACATTGGTTCTATTGCACGATCTAAGAGATGAAAGAAAGAGACAACTCCTAAATGTCTCATAGCTTCCTGCCTATAGATGTGGTGCATAACACATCCATAAGCAACACTCTACATAGACACAGCTTTGTAGACTCCCTAAGATGACGTTGCTCAGATACTACTTTTGTCATGCCTCGAATCCCATTGAGACGGATAGGCACCTGATGCCGTAAAGGCCCGAGAGAATCCATGTATAACCTGTATCTACCATGAATTTAGCTAAGATAATCATGAAACTCTAATAAGTATAAGTTTAAGCTACGATTATAAAAGAACAACATAGGTGGGGCCAAAATATATACATATGACTCGGTCGTTGAGGCCACAACTGTTAAGGAACCAACCATAACTCCATGCTATGCATTAGTCTTCAAAGCCTCTATAAGATAGACAAACTTAGAGTAGGTCGGGACAGACCCCGCCTTACCCTTAACTACAATACAATACCAAAATGAATATACCAAGGACTCAGTAAAGCTCCGAATCAACCTGGAGCTCACCAAAAGTAATTGAGTATCGTGTCCTCCTATTGAGGTCTACTAGCTAGAGTACTTATGCCTGCAGCATGAAATGTAGCGTCCCTCACTAGGGACGTCAGTACGAAAAAATGTAAAGAATATGTATGGCAATAACATATATAAAACAATGGCTCGAATGAAATCAAGTATCAATATATGAGTGCATAGATCATAACATATGGCCTCCTTTTCTTACTCTTGTGGGATCATGTATGTTGTATTGTTTTCTTTACTTTTCTGTACTTTATAATCTTTGTAGGGCATATCATACAAATGATCAGTTGATCAGTGGTAGAAGAAGATGACCCATGCTAGGTATTTTAACCCCTTGGATACTATCCTCATAATTACAACAATTGGGATCGGCCCATGCTAGGCTTTCTCCCTTGAGCTGCCATCCTTAAATACCAATTGGGATTGGCCCATGCTAGGCTTTCGCCCCTGAGCTGCCACCTTTCTATACCAATTGGGATCTGCCCATGCTAGGCTTTCGCCGCTGAGCTTCCACCCATAATTATATACATTGCTTCACTTAGGTTCTTTAATCTTTTAGATTGTTGTGTTTGGTGGTCATAATCATTTTTTACATTTGGAACTACGGACCAGTAGTAGAAGACATGAAAATAATAACTTCAAGGCAGTAACAATGACATAAGGAGCTATGTAACATCATTGCATTACTTGTGAGATTAAATGACACAATTGACTTCAATCGACTAAGAGGAGTATTCACCAAGCTTACTTTTGCAAATACCATTTCTATACTAGCACATAGGAGGAGGATAAATACACAAATGTAGAGAAATGAACATATAACGAAGTAATTTTAAACGCTAAGGAGAGGGGAAATATTGTTATCCACATTGTAGATCATACGTTGCCACTATGTTTCCTTAATTAGCAATAGAACTTAAAAAATTCACTTCATTGATACTAATCGCTAATATCAGATTTCATGCAAAGGAATATTGAATCGAATAGCCTTACATACCTTATTCTCTGACCAATATAACTATCACGTTTCAGCCTCCCCTTTTAGGAGTTAATCTACAATATAAGTCATGATAAAATAATAATAGAAGCTATCACATCGTGAGCCTCGTAAAACAGTAGCTAACTTTGACTGATAATGAG